ATATTTATATAATATATATATATATATATTATAATATATATATATATATATTATAATATATATATATATATTATATATATAATACCGTTTGGTAGCGAGCGATCCGTGTACCGGTTTGCTGACGGACCGGTACGTACCGCCCGATACGGGCTGTATTATTCGAAATTGTAAACCTTGATTTAAACTACCTACTGTTTTTACAAAATTTGAAATGTTCAAATTTCTAAAATACTAGAAAAAACATATGCTCCAGAATACAATTCACAATCTGATTGAACCTCGTACCAATGTGATTTACATAATGTCTTGATCATAACAACATCGTCAATAACCACAGGAAAAAATTGGAACAACTTGGCCAGTAAAGATATTTTATGTGGCATATAAATATCTGCACTCACACAGCCAAACACATGCACACACAGACTTTAACACTACAGACCTTTTTCTATCAACCAGTTTTGGTCCGAACTCCTCCAAGTAATGGACTAGGTAAAAGATCCTCAGAAGTAAAATAAAAAACCTAGATAGAGGCACTCATAAAGCAATTAAGCAATTTCACGTGGAAAGATATGAAAGTCTGTGACCTCGGAGGGCAGCAATGGGCGACGGAATGTTCCAGCATAATGATAACCAAATCTATCTAAGAAACTCCAGAAGCCATCTTGTAATCTCGATCTAGATGATACTCTTAATTCCAAGCAAGTAGCACCATCTGCTGTCTTCACTTCTTTAATAGATATAGAAGGAAGATCCTGCAATAAGTATCATCCATCTGATCAGGAATATCTATTTACACTGATATGCAAATACTCATTAAATCAACAATAACATGGTGCTGTACAGAACAAATGACAATAATTACTGCAAGTTACTACCTAAAGTTTCATGAGCAGCTAATGCAACAATGATAAGAAACAATATATGTTCCACTAAATTACAAAAGAGAAAAAAAAAAAAACAAAGCACTAGTGTTATGTTAAGCCCCACAATGCCATCTCTTCATAAAACAGCTTCCATTTAGGAATAACTAGAATGTCCCAAATCCATGCTTAGCATGTGAATGATTCGCTGAAGAACATTAGCTTTTCAAAAACTAGTCTACATATTCAACTGGTCTGTCATGATTGTAAATATGTAAAAGTGCATATGCAGGTTGAGAATTGCATATGCACGTTGTCTGGAAATAAAAGCATCTTATAAACATAAGCTACAAACTAGAGTATGGATAGGAAACAAAACAACTTAAATTCCAGAGGCAGTCAATTATCCTTGTGTTTTCTCATTACAAATTACTGTAAGATGTTCCATAAGCAGACATTTGCATTTTCAGTGGAATTCATACCAGAAAGTAAAATTAACATCATTTACTGAAAATATGAAGTGGAGAAGAAAAAAGTAAACAAGTTTAGCATAGGCTAAAAATAAGAACAAAATTTTACTTGCAACCAATTATCAGTAAACTCCGGAAGGAAATCCATGAAAGCAGAAACATTGCACCAACTGAATTAACATGATTTTTGTATTAACACACATCCAAGAGTCAGTTTTAATCTGCAATATCTTTCTAACCAAACAAATATAATAAATGAGATGAACGCCATTAACAAGGACATCACGGCCAACCTTCCAGAAATAAACTCTGGTACAGCTCCTCTATGACAACAAATTAACTCTAACTCACTTAAGAATGAACATAATTTTTAGATTATTTCCATGTTGATCCACTTTCAATAAAAGGTTAAAGAAATATATACCATTTCTTCCAGCAGATCTCCAAAACATCATAATCAATGGTATATAACATTTTTGTAGAAAACAGAAGTAGAGAACACTATTTCTTGGAAGAGGGTGGTTCTCTTTCTTGTTTGATGTGGAAGCTACTAGAAACAACCATACCAGCAATCATAATCTCCTTTTTTTCCTTTTGCTATCCATAAATAGATAAAAACAATATCCCATTTATCATTAACTGTCTTCTGCAGCATGTTGCTTAAGAGCTAGATTATAGGTATGGATACTGACATTTTCCATATCTTACTATTATAATTGGAGTGCAGGAACCTGACCCTGAGGTTTTCTATACACAGAAATGAATACTTTATATTTAGAGTAACAAACCAGAGTTGAAGATACAACAGCACACAAGATTTATATAAATCCTAGAGAAAGACTACTAAGATGCATTTAACCAAAATTTTAAATTCGACTATAACTGAAAAATTAAGTTTTGCATCAATTTTAAAAAGATTGAAAATTTATGACAAACAAATTACCAGGAAGAGAGTTAGATATTACCAGACAATAGAGACATGGCATGCTTGAGATTTTCCCCTTGCCCACACTGTATTTAACCTGATAAATTGTGGCAGTGTAGAGAAAACTGGAATCAAAAGGAATTCCAGAGATGATGTTTAATCCAGAAAATAATGGGAGATATTCACATAATCATGTTTGTGTCAATAAAATAAGACAATAAACTCAAGCCATCGACATTTAATATCATCATCTGAGGATCATATATCTTGACACTCTTTTGCCAAATAAATACTCTACATGAAACTCTCCATACCAAGAAACAGAATCAATACTTGCAGGAAGCAAATGCATGAACACCTACCAGTGTGAGTCATAAGGACATCATCCATAAACAGATTTAACCCATGTGATGAGGTCATGTTGTTGCAAGTGTCAGTTCTTAATTCTCCCACTTTCTTAAAATAAAATGCAGCTAACAGCTTTCTGAAATGTCATAAAGAAGATCTATGCTCAATGGAGCTTGTTAAGGTGAAGCTAACCTTGTGTAGTTGGTGAAAATTCTACTTTGAAAGTAAACAAAATAATAATAATAAATTGATGACAAGATGTGAGTGGCTCATGTCATTATCCAACCTGGTGGCAGAACAAACACATCAACTTGATGAGTGTTTAATCCTAAGTTAATAGTAGTAGACCCCATCTATCCCCAATTCTCCTCTCAGTTCCAATGAAGGACTAAGCTCATGTGCCATAATCTCTCCACTTTAATGCTCGACTCCCTCGTCAAAGTCCAATACAAACTCATAGCCCAAAATTATGCCTAGCTGGTGTTTGGTGTGGTACAATCTCCCCACTTAAGGCTTGATGCCTTAGTCAAAATCCAAGACACAACTCATAAACTAGAACCACGCTAAGTCAGTGGGTTGTAAGTTGTAACACCTAATCCATTGATGGCTCCATGCCATGATATGCCTCCAACCCCATCCACGGATAGCTCTTTCCTAGTTGGACCTCATATACCAATTGTCATAACCCATCTTGATGATAGAACTGCAACATTAATTTGATGAGACTAAACTACTAGTCCAAAATGGTTACGGACATAATAATAGACCAATAGCTGGTGGTTGATGTGTTACAATCTCCCCACTTAAGGCTTGATGCCCTAGTCAAAATCCAAGACACAACTCATAAATTAGAATTGGGCTTAGTCGGTGAGTTGTAATGCCCAATCCAATGATGACTCCATGCCATGATATGCCTCCAACCCCAACCACGATAGTTCTTTCCTAGTTGAACCTCATATACCAATTGTCACAACCCATCCTAATGATAGAACTGCAACATTAATTTGATGAGATTAAACTACTAGTATAAAATGGTTAAGGCCATAATAATAGACCAACTCAATTCTCTTCTCACTTCTATTGTGAGACTAAACTATGGTGCCAAAGTCTACTCCACATAACGCATGGCTTCATCATCAAAGCCCAAGGCCCAACTAGTAGCTCAAAATTATGCCCAATCAGTGGCATTGGATGTTGCATGAGGCTTCCGCCAATGTAGACATCTAGGAAAGAACTACTAAACAAGGTATGCAATTTTGAATAATACCGCCCGGTATGGGCGGTACGTACCGGTCCGTCAGCTTACCGGTACACGGACCGCCCGTTACCGGGCGGAACGAAAAAAAAAAAAAAATAATAATAATAATAATAATAATATATATATACCGAGCGGTATACCGAACGGTATACCGCTCGGCATATAGTTTCGTACCGTACCGAGCGAACGTCAAAACTCCAGTATGATACGAAATTGCATATCTTGCTACTAACCCTTGCACACAGGAAGGTTTATGTGGTTTAAACTTTAAACCATAATCACCCCAAGAGAAACAAGCATCATTGCCATGATCCCAAAACTTGCCCTGTAGTTCAAAAGAAGACATGCTACATTAAAATTCATTGGTCTTGAGTGATTCCTAACAAAACTATCTAGAATGTGACTAACAACAATTTTTGCTCTAATATATAGCTTACAACAATTAGCAATTGGCACCCCCTGCTTGGTAGAACCAATAAAGAAGAGCCATCAAAAAGTGTTTCCAAGAAATGTACTACTACTATCATACATTGAGAATCAAAATGACATAAAACTAGTAATTTAAATAATATACACTGCGCAGGTGCAGATACTACATCGCATACAGAAAGTTAACACTAAACACAAAATAAAAGCATCCATGATTGTTTGGGTACCTTCTTCATCCTCAAGCACTTTAGACATACCAAACTTAAAAGATCTCTCAATTCACTGACATGAGAAGGATGATATACAGGTATTGGCAACTCAATGTAACCAAAATGACCTAGACAAAGAAAAAGACTGTCATTGGAAAATGGTACCAAAAAACATGTTGTGATAGCAAGTTTTATCTACAAATTAAATGATATACACATGCATACCTTCACAATTTCCGATTTCAGCTGTCCCACAGGTTTCACATCCACCAGATTCCAATGGCAAGCCAAGAAAAGGATTTGCTAACTGGGATGGGTGTGAAATGGGACAATCACTTATGGAGTATGTCCTCTGTCATGCAAATATGATATCATGTTATAGAATATTCACTATGGCAATATTGGGAAATCAACAGGTGCAATCAATTATGCAAATTATAGTTTTGTTAAATATGCAATAGCATAAAAGCAATTAAACATAAGTTGTATCCGTCTAGATACCATTAGGTGAACAATAAATGATACTATCGTTCTGCATCAGAAAGTCAATAAAAGTTACAGAAGAGAGGATTATTCAGGTAATCAATAAAAATGAAAGGAAGCTTTTTTTTTTTTGAAAGAAAGTTTGTTAAGAAAGTAGTGCTGAACCTTTATTTTATTTCCAAAGTTTCCTGAATATAGCATGCCAGTGTCTACCCAACTAAAACCATTGGGTTTTGCATCTGTGTGCTAAAGAGTGACTACACAACTCTCAGTGAGCAAACAATAAAAAAATCCTTAAAGGGATAAGATGAACATTTTAGACATCATTCTTTATGCTAATGTCAACAAAAATGCAAAGTAATGTTGTTCTTAAATTTGTTCATGGTTATTACCCTTTGACTAGTATAGAAGCTGAAATTGATTTCAGTGATAGAATCAGATAAAATTAGCCTTATTTATGCTGTTGAACTCGAGCAGCAAACATCATGAAGTTGGTCCTATTCATACATGTAGCTGTTAGAAGCAAGTGCAGATTTAGTATTTTAGATGGGATATTTGTTAATTTTATAAGTTGTTACATAGTGACATCTCCCATGTTTCTAGCTTTATTTCCTAGATTGCTCAAGGATAAAAAAAAGGGAAGCTGGTGAAGAAAAAGATGGAAGAAATCAAATTTTGGTTTGATTGAGAATTCCATATATACAAGGAAGTTTCATGATTTTACGAGTACAAAGATCTCATAGAATACCATCAATAAGCTATATTATCAAAAAGGAAGATTACTTATCAAGTTAAATATGAAACTTTCTCTTTTATAAAAAATGAAAAATAATTTATTGGTTTATCTTGATGTAATTGTATTTTTTATTATTTCTGTAACTTTATTTCCTTCTTGTTCTTTGGGCCTATAAAATAGGGAAAGGAATTGTTATGGGACATTAATTACTGAATAAATGAATGAGTTTTTTTTCCCCATGACGTGTAAGTGATGTAAGGCCACAAACTCTTTCCTCACAAGTTCAAAGGACTTCAAGTGGGTCCAAGAGCATTTTTTGTTTCCTATATTCCCCATGTAGTCTATCATCTAAATTTCACGAGCTAATTACATATTACCCCCTGTAATTGGATACCCTTAGCATCTCGATCCCTACACTTTAAAAAGTTACATTGATAGCCTTATAGTTACGAAAGTGAAACATCTAAGTCCATTTACCCTAACGCCATTGATTTTACCAACAAAAACATGAAAACAAATGGTAAAAACATAATTTTAACATTTTCGTTGGTAGTGCCAGACGACGATGCTGTTGGGGGCCATGGGTGGCTATTGTGGATAAGAAGAACGATGACGAGAATGCAGCTCAGCAACTGCGTCAACGATGTACTTAACGTCGAATTCCAGGACCTACATTTTTCTACCGTCGTTGGATACGTCCGTTGGGAGCTCAACAACCGCTTGCCCTCTAGCCTTCCAGAACTTTCCTTCCCGATTGACGACAATCACAATGAATAGAACTCCTCCGATGAGCCCCCCATCTCTCATTTCTCATGCTCATGCTACAACTAACACGACAACAACAGGAGCTCCGGTGACCCCACCTTCGGATCGAGCAATCACTCCCCTACTGCCGCGTTAGTTTCGACATGGGCATGAAAAAGGAGAGATGGGAGGCTCCTTATAGGAGTTCTATTTGCCACGATTGTCGTCAACCGGAAAGGGAAGCTCTGGAAGGCTAGCAAGTGAGCGGTTGTCGAGCTCCCAACGGACGTGTCCGACGATAGTAGAAAAATGTGGATCCCAGAATTCGATGCTGAGTACACCATCATACCTGTTGTCGACGTAGTTGCCGAGCAGCCTTCACCTCTCACTGCCGCTCTCCTCATCCACAACAACCACTCACAACCCCCAATGACGACAACCGCCACCACTAATTGAAACGTTACAATTATTTTTTTGTTCTTTGTTTTAATATTTTCGTTGATAAAACTGACGACGTTATGGTAAATGAACCTAGATGCTTCACTTTTGTAATATAGGGATGTCAATGTAATTTTTTAAAATGTGGGGACCGAGATGCTAAAAGTAGCTAATTACAAGGGGATAATATGTAATTAGCCCAAATTTCACCATTGGGCAAAATTCCTCAACCCCAAATTATTGAGAACCTAGAATTATTGAAGCATCGAAGCCTTGCATATCAACTTCACAATCAGTCAAGTTAATCAAGGAGGATCATTGTCTTTCTTTGCATCAAAAACCATATGCATTTGAATTTTCACTACTTGTTCTTGCATTGTCCAAATTGAGAATATGTTCATCCTCTATTTTGTATTTTTTTATTTTCACCAACTCTCTTTCCAAACTAATAAAATCACTAGGCACTTAGGCGCTAGCATAGGCATCCAAGCAAGATGAGGCAAGGCCTAAGCATTCAACAAGTGGTACAGGCGAACACCACTTAGGCATGGCCCAAGCATGTGCTTGAGCCTATACACCAAGCAAATGCACGCCTAAGACAAACCCAATATAAGTCAAACTAGTATGTTGATTATGATTCGATTAAACCAAATCAATGTGTTGCTAAATCTAATTTGAGTCAACTTATGATCCATTGATTCTAGCTCGATCCAGATCAACATATCTTCCGACACTCCTCCTGCACGTGCATAAATGAGACCCTCCTCCTTGGAAAATCTAACCAAAGAAAGACGACATCTTCCTCCGATGAAAAGCTTTTATGCAATCTTTGTAATCTCTCTCCTTCCCCTCCCTCCTCCTCAATAGCCAAGCCTCCTCAAGTGTTGATTACCCTCTCTCCCTCCACCACAGTCGCCTCCATGATAGCTCTCAATATCCCCCCCATCTTCCACCATCGTTGTCGTTGTCTCCTCCTCCCCGACAACCCCCTCTCATTCCTCCTCATTCGCCTCTGTTGCCTCTTCCTTTTCCCCGATAGCCCCCTCTCCTTCTTCTTCCTCCTCCTCCGCCTCCTTCCTCATAGCCCCCTCTCCTTCCTCTACCACCTTGATAGCTCCCCTAACTCCTCCCACTTCCCCTATCCTCCTTTTTTGATAGCTCCTTACTTGTCCCAACCGACATCAACCACACCCTCTTGCTAGCTCCTTGCTTCCCTCCCAACTGATAATCCTGTTTTGTTTTGTGACTTTTATCGTTTTTGTTATTAGATTTGGGAAAGATAATTTGGTCCTTTAAATGAATACAATTTGATGTTTGATTTTTATTTTAGAGATCATATTTATCAATAATGATATATTTTTAATAAAAAATAATATTTGAGAGAACCTCGGGCGTTTTGGAACCTTAGTGCCTTTTAGCGCCTAACGCCTTTGAGTACATTATTTCAAACCCCTAAGCCAATCACCCTTTCAATACATCAACAATAAGTAAAATTTGATATAAGATAACCAGCAAAAAGAAGATTGATGTAGCTTGTTATGAATGCTCATTTCTAAAGTACTATAATTGGCATCGAGGAGACCTACTGAGGTCATTCTAGAAAAAATGCCAAATTGTTTGTATTAATTATATATAATCCCCGTATAACATGATTCCACAGGCCATCTAACTGTGTATCTCTTGCAGCAATTACACATCTCCCACATGATATTATAGTTTGAGCTTCAATAAATTTATAGACATGTAGGAGTTAGGACAATCAGTTTCTTGCCAGAACAATCTGAAGAATGATAAATTGCATAATTAACTACCACACTTCTCAAGAAGCATGCTTCTTCAGAGTTTCTAGTGTAAAAATTCTCTTATATGTTTTTTATTTGATCCATATTGTACACATGTTTTGCCTCCATTTTCCTCGTATTCATCTGAGTGTTGCCTACATTATATTCTAAATTCTTTGGTTTGATGGTGAAGACTTCAGGATGGAAGTTCTGTCATGAATATCTACTGAATCCAAGTAGATATCAGAAGTTTACAGAGTATAATGCAAAATGAACAGAACTAATAATTGGTCTAAGGTACAAAAACATTGTATAATATTAAGAGGAGGAACAATATGCAATGCAAAGTAAAGAAAGAGCAGAAATGACAGAAGAACACATTAATCTAAATACAAGTCAACCAATAGAAGCTTACAAAGAAAAGAAAACACTAGATCTAGAAAAACATTTGATGAAATGAGAGACTAATTTGAGAATACACACAAATACTTACAATTTCCTCAGCAGTTGCTATGCTAAATTTGATGCTACAAATAGATCCATCTAAGACAAGTGGAGAGGAAACTTGATCTTCCATGTCACCAAGTATTTTTCTCTATGCCTTAAAGCTGACTCATAAGTAAAAGAAGATATTATAACCTGACAAATAAAAAGTGAAAATTTCATTTAAGTACTATAATATGAACTAGACCGAGCACTAGCATGGAATGAAGCCTTAGACTTTAGGTTTTACAAATATCTTGACTGTAAGTACAAAACATGAAATGACAACACATGTAGTTCTCCATAAGAATCAAGAAATCAACCCCGCAACAAATGCAAAGAAGATCCTTAATCTTACAATTTGCAGGAACGTAGTGTAAAAACCTCGATATAACAAAGCAACACCTGCTGTTGAACCACCCTAACACTCAAGCTACCAATGTTGGCATAATCTTCAAGCAATCACAGGACAATCATCAAGATCATGCATAAAGTCATTCGGGAGATCTTGAAAATCTAACTAAAAAGAATCACATTTTCATGAGATTTCCATGTGTTACAATTAACCTTAAACAGATGAATAAAAGGGCAAGGTGTTAACTTTTCCTTTCACCAATCATAAAGTATGAGACAATGAGATAAGAATCTGCATCAGCTTCTTAGTGCAGATGAAATATCAATTTGATAGTTGAAAACTTGACATTAAAGCAACAAATGAATAGTGTATGACAACGTTTCTAAAAAGCACTCAAGCGCCCACAAGGTGTTAACTTTTCCTTTCATCAATCATAAAGTATGAGACAATGAAATAAGAATCTGCATCAGCTTCTTAATGCAGATGATATATCAATTTGATAGTTGAAAACTTGGCATTAAAGCAACAAAGGAATAGTGTATGACAATGTTTCTAAAAAGCACTCAAGCGCCCACCTAGCGAGGCCCGAGCATCTCGCAAAACCTCTAGGCAAGGCGTTTCAATGAAGCGCCACTCGAGCGCTCACTTGAGCCTAGGTGCCTGGCAAGTGCTCGGGTAAAGTTGGGTTGGCACTCAAGCCTGGTTTGATTGACCAAGCAAGTTGGTTCAATCAAACCAACTAATGTACCATAACACAAAACATAAAACTCGCGCACCCCCCCACCAACACCCCCCAAAAAAACCCGACGCCCAACCTAGTTCGTCTATAGCTTCGTCCACAACCACCTTCGTCCATCACCTCATCTGTCACTATCATCGTCGCTTTTGTCTGTAGTTTCGTTTGTTGGCGTCGCCTTTGTCCACAGCTTCGTCCGCCATCGCCACTTTCGTCTGCAACTTCATTTGTCGCCCTCTCCTTCCCCACCTTCCTACACAACTATCGATTACTCTTCTCAGTTCCCTCTTTAGAACTATTTAGCACTATATTAATCCACTCTTTAGAATTGTTTAGCACCAGTTAGAAACCTGTTTTCCATCAGTAGAAATCATAGTAGCATTCTTATTTTTATAATCATAGTTATCAATCGTAATATATCTTTTATAATTTTAATATTTTGGAGCGCCTCAAGAGTTTTAGGACCTTGGATGATACAAAACCAATCTTATCTATCGCTTATTCAAATAAATTTAATTAGTTTAGAGGTTATTTTGCATAACATAAATTGCCACATGGCAACATACTGAATAATTCTGATCTAATTTCCTAGTCTATTAAAGGAAGAAGAAAATGTGAAAAGAATTTGAAAAAAAAATCAAATTATAATTGTAAATTAAGATTCCAAATCCTGATGGATTTGGAAAGATTGATCTCTACGAGGATGGAAGCATATCAATCAAGAATATTATCTTCTTCGAAGGAAAGATCAAATCATATATTTGACTTTATTCAATTGTAATTTTTTTTACTTTTACATTTTTCCTTTTCTTTTCTTGTACTTAGCCTATAAAAGGGGGCAAGAACATCGTAATGCAAATCAATCACAAATAGATCAACGAAATGAGTTATTTTCCCATCTTTAGTGTGAGTGGTGCGAGGTCACATTTATTTTCCGATGGCATGATTCTATCGTCCTTGAGCTAGAGCGAGTCGGGTAGTTATCCAATTGTTTTCCTATTATCTTTCAGTTATTATCTTATGTTCCTCTCTTTTATGCTCCCCTATTATCGAAAAAATATTTCGTCACTCTTGTCCTACATCATTGGAGCCTTTTGGCATCTAGTGCATTCAAAAACATTGGTATATAACACAGTAATCCACTTTTCAATGTGAACAACTAGTACAATAACTGAACAACCTTCTTGACTTACAGATCTTTGAATATAAAATAATTAAAGGAGTAAAGAGAATTTATCCCAGTTTGACATACCACATAGTCAAGCACTCTCCACTCAATGAATAAGGATAATTATTAAGAAAGTACTCGTGCAACAACCTAGGAGGCTACCAGCAGCTTATATACATTTCCATTAGAGGAAAAGAATAATGAAGTTAAGCATATTACAAGTTCTGTACATCCTTAAGCATTGATGGGATTAGAGAAAAAATGAACAGCCTAAAAGATAATCAAATCCTTTCTTTATTGGGAGCAACAGAGGTATTTTAGATACAGTCAATGGTCAAAGAACTATGAGCAGAAGTCAAAGGGAGGCAGCCTGGGAAGACATTAGTATGGATTTTGTGATTAGTGACATTAGTCTACCGAAAACTCAAAGAGGTACAGATTCTATCTTTGTTGATCGATTTCCAAAATGGCATATTTTATTTCTTGCAAAAAGACCACGGATGCTTCTTATATTGCTAACCTTTATTTCAATAAAGTGGTCAAACTTCATGGAATTCCTAAATCTATCACATTAGATAGAGATACTAAATTTTTTAATCATTTTTGGAGAAATTTATGAAAGAAATTTGGCACCAAACTATTATATAGTGGTGCTTATCATCCTTAAATAGAAGGCCAAGCTTAGGTTGTTAATAGAACCTTGGGTAGTCTGCTACGATGTTTTGCTGCAAAAATACCTAAACAATGAGATCTCATGCTACCTTGAGCTAAATTTGCTTATAACTCTATGATTAATCATTCTATGGGCAAGAGTCAATTTGAGATTATTTATGGTCACATTTCACCTCATTCTCTAGATCTTGCTGAAGTACCTAAATCACCTTTATCAAGTTAAAAGAGAGAGGATTTTGCAATTACCATAACAAAAACACATGAAGAAGTAAAGAAGAAGCTTGAGGCTAGCAACCAAGTTTACAAAAAAAAAAAAGGCCAACAAGCATCGTCGTGTGATGATCTTTGAAGAAGGAGATCTTATTTAGGTCTTTTTGAAAAAAGAACGTTTTCCGATAGAAACTTACAATAAACTCAAAGAGAAGGAAAATGGCCCCTATTGAATTCTCAAGAGAATTAACGACAATGCTTACAAAATTGAACTTCCTCCTAACGCTCACACTCACTCCACATTTAACATTAAGGATATATCAATTTACCATGATAATAATGACGACAACTCATGGACGAGTTCTCACCTGGGGAGAATGATGTAATGCATGATGAGCATTGAATTCTCCCAAGTTCCAAGACAATAAATTTCAAGCTCAACCCTATCAAATTTCAAAAAAATAATTAGTATCTTGAGATAATTATGAAAATTCAAAACCACCAAAGTATAATGCACCATGAATTTAATATAATATGTATTGCAATTTGTGGTTGACTTTTAGTATATTCTGACTCATTAATTAGGTGATTGAAGGATTCAAATTTATAAGGGATTATAAAAGGGGAAGGAAGGAAGGTTGGTGGGGTATTCTTTTTTTTTTTTAAACCTTATCAAATTTCTATATTTTGAGCTATTAGCTCTTAAGTATCTCTTGAAATAAAGAGAGTTCTCTTTGTCCTACCATATCTCACTTCATTTTTCACCCTCTCATCTCTTCCTTTTTGTTTCACATCACAAAGGCATTGTGAGTTTGAGGCAGAAGGAGAGGAGAGAACAGGAGAGGGGAAGAGAGGAAAGGAAAGAAAAGGAGCGGGAAGGAGATGAGCAAACAGAAGAGGGCGGAAAGTTGAGGAGTGAGGAGGAGATGTGCTAACGGGAGAGGGAGGAGAGAGGAAAACCAGGGAAGAGGAGAGAGGAGCGGTCGACGGGCTCGGGCGGCGGCAGCTGGTAGGCCACGACAGCACGGGGTCAGGCACTCGAATAGTATGCACACAAAAATCTTGGATTACGAAACAATGGTTCGCCCTAATATCATCGGAGCGAAAACGAAGCCCGGAAAAGGCAAGAGAACAGCTACCGATGCATTTGCCATAATGAAGTCCCATCACAAGACAAGTACACGCGCTATTTAGGAGAGAAGGGCATCGACATTTATCGGAAGCGGGGGCAAAGGCATGCAAGAGAGGAGCCGTCGAAAGAAGAAGAGAACCGAACAAGGACGTCGGCGGAGAAGCGAGGGGAAGACTGAAGGGAGAACGAATGATAGAGAGAGACAGAGAGATTATGACCTCGCCAATGGGGTGAAGATCGCCGACGCCGTTCTTTTCCCTCTTTCTTCTCCTCACACCCGGTGGAAGCGATCTTGAAGTGAGGCGACGGCAAGACACGAAACCCTACTCCTCCACGTCCTTCCTCTTGCTCTCTCCGCTCTGTGCGGAGGAAGAAGAAATGCGAAGACGAATTGAGGGCTTCGCTTCTCACTCAATTTAAAGGCCTCGCTACTGTCTGCGGGAGAGAGGCGACAAACCGGTGACCATTTTAAGAACCGCATCACGTCACCGCCATGGAGAGAGGGCGGGGTGGGAAAGGAAAAAATGATAGAGAAAGGCCAAATTATATATATTCATATTTATATATATAGAGAGAGAGAGAGAGAGAGAGTTTTTGTATTTAACGCTTAAAATTTCTAATATTGAAGGGAGGATATATGTGAAGGGATAAGTACGCTATTTCGTGACCGGCAATGAGTATTGTAAAGTGAACATAAGAAAAGGACGAGTGAAGGTATCACCGGCGGTGACGCCACTTCTCCGGAGTGAAAACGTAAGATAAATAGGAAACTGGAATTAAATATTAAGGTGCGACGTAAAATTCCTAAGATGCCCTTCCAGTTGCGCTACTTCGGACCCCGATTCGGTGTGCGGACCAATGCACAACACGTGGTGAAGATTCGAATTCCGGTGTGAATCATTAAGGGTTTTGGTGCGGGTAATGAGATGGGATCTTGTGAGAGGCGCTGCAGCGGATCCGCAGTCGGCTCGAGCGTGCGGGGATTTAATGTTGCCTAACAACCTGGTCCGGTCGAGCCAGAAGTGATTCGGGTCAAGACCAGATCGAATGTTGCAGGCCAATTACACCTAGTAAGCTAACACGAATAGAAGCGAGTAAGATTGATCTGCCTCGGATTTGACCTTCTGTGAGGAGAAAAGCATATCCATATCACTGAGTTAGAATAGTTGCTGACAGTATGAGATATGTATAAAAATAATGGATTAAGTACATGAGATTCTCCCATAGTTGAAGACAAGCTTTTGGAAAAGTCTCGGCAAATATTCGGGAGCTCGACGTGATGCCTTAACAAACAAATAAATAAGATTCAAATCAGAACAAAAAAATATTTCAAGCATAATCTTTAAAATCTATACACACTCCTTTCCTGAAGAACATCATACACTCCCATCTCTTAGCTTAAGTCACCACACCGAACTAATCATTCAATTCAAAAGTGATTTTTATTATCCTAACCCTTCTCAACTCAAGTATGTTTACCAAGTTGGACCTTATCAAATATTGCCCGAAGAGCAGAAGTCAAAGGCTATTAAGAAATAGAATATTTAGCTGAAAGTGTACATCTCTGCTTACTTCCATGTGAGACACAACAAATTCCCATCTCTTTTATTTGGTGGCTAGCCAGTAAAGGAACTTGTCAGGTGAAGCATCAGTCCCCAAAAAGCCTTTTCTTCCACCACATGGAAATATTTATTTATGAGTCATGTTTGCTATTTACATTACAAAATTCTTGTTGTTTGTTATATAATACTTTATATGCTAATCATACATCCCTCCTCTGTCCAAAATGATGACATACCAACTTTCTCAATTACAAAACTAATTCATGGAACATTACTTGTCATTTTACTGGTCTTTGCATAGCTATATCCTTTCAGAAAATATTCACCATGAATGGCCCAGATAGTTAGCCTCATAATGATACTACAAATATAAATATTGCAATCACAAGAGGTAAAACAATTTTATTGGCAACGATAAAAGAGAATTTTAACAAAAATAAAAATTATATCTACTGCTATTTCATATATTTTTAACAAACAATATGAGCCAATGATAAGAACGAGTTTTAATACAACCTAAAAGAAGATCAAAATTCGAGTTATAAAAATATTTAAAATAAAATTAAGTACATTAACTTTCTCCTCACACCTCGTGCATTGAGTACACCCTTTCTTTTTCTTTTCCTATGATCCACTGATACTTTCGAGCTACTCATTCATAAAATTAATTCCTATGTGAAAATGAAGAATCCTCAAATTAAATTATGGTTACATCTTTGAATCGATTTGCTTCAAAATTTCTACGTGCATAGAGCTATTGAGCTCCACAAGACCACTGAAAGATTTCAAACATGCCAACAGAGTTCACTTCTGCCAAGGGAACTTAGTTCACAGAAAAAAGAGATAAAGATGATGTCTTAAAAGGGCTTCCTGCCTCCTTTAAACTTATGCAAGAGAACTATGGCACTGGAATAAACCATAGCAGTTCACTGATTCTAATTCATAGCAGTCGAACGCTCAAATAATCACACTTACATCATGCCTTCAACTCCTCAGGGAAATGACGCAGCACCTAAGTCGTCAGTAATACAATCAATTGGTCCTTTTCAAAATGAGTACTGGCATGGTCCTTCCAGTCAATCAATCGTCTTCTGAAAATAGTGAAGAGACAGTAGTCAACAAGTAAATAAGATTTCATCACCATGGTTCGATTGAGGGAACCATGTTAAATTTTTGGTAAAATGGGATGTCTGTCATACAATTTCTCTTCCAAATTTTGCATATTTTAATTATGAGAAGTGCAGATATAACTGAAAATGTGTTCTTGATGGACTCAATCAAGAACTACATGCTGTATTGTGTGTACTTCAGTGGGCTATTGGACCAGTGTGTCTAAAATACCACATAATTTATCCTTTTGAATTTGTTTCTAATACTAAATGATGAGTTTTCTAGTTTAGTCCTAAAACTTCAAAAAATTCAGAGCATGTGCCAAATTTCTTTCCAACTTACTTTCTTCAGGATCAGTGTGGAAGTAGAAACTTGCAGCAACAATGAAGTAGCAGAGTATCAACATTAAACCCTTGAAATAGTTTGCAGTGCCATCCTGAAAAAGGAAGTAATAGCTTAGATTATGTTTAGATGACACTAAATTCCTCCTATTTGAAAACTTGTTGGAAAGAAAGGTCAAATGGTTCTATTGGTCTTAAACTTGGCAACAAAATTCAACTGAGAAAGATACGCTGAAAGTCTGAAACCACAGCAGTTAAAGACTTCCATGCAGTGCAAGCATCTAAATAATCATCAAAATGCAGAAGAAATAATAAATAATTTAAAAAAACTACTTCATATATCCCAAGTAGAAGTTAACGTTTCTCAAACTCATGCAAGATTCAAGTAAAAAAAACTAAATTTAGGAACAAAAGGATTATATGCTTCTTTTAATCCCTTTTATTCCCACTAAAATCCATTTGTATTTTCCCTTTTCCTTTGCTACTGCACATGCTACTAAATGTTTTAATCTTTTTACTTCTGTTTCCTTTCTTCTGTTTTCCTTTTACCTATGTGTTTTATTCTCATCATCTCATATTTAAATGTCTGAGTAGAGAAGCAGAAATTTAGCCTGTAAAACTCAACAAGCCAGAAGAATGAGTGTATCTTTAATAATCTGTGCACCCACCTGAAGCATGAACGCCACAACCAACACTGTTATAAAGAGAGTTGCTGTCTCAAATAACTGAAAATTTAAGTCCATTTGCTGCTTCATGAGCCAACCAACAACCACAGAGAACGGAATCTACAATTACCAGCAGAACAAATAATAATTAACATCAATGTATTAAAAAAAAAGGAGAGATGAATATTTAATGAAAAAATCTTCAAAAATATGCCAAACTAATTCAGAAATTCACATGCAGTGGCGTTTAATTCAGCTAGAATTGGAGAAGCATGTGTAAATTATTATAAAGTGCTACATCAGAAAGATTAATGTTTGATAGACCAATTAAATAATATGTGAATTGCATGTAATGAATCTACATCAGTTTGCTTGAATGGCAGCAGAAGCTTTAGAGGAAGAAGCCTTAAAAATTGCTAAATTTTCAAAAATTACCACAAACATGGATATCTGAGTAGATGATCCGATTGCAACCCCCAAAGTGATATCCTGCATGAGAAAAAACAAGGAGGTAAATAAATTAATTTTATGTGTAAAGTTAATCCACTAGATCAACATCTCAGACTTACAAGCTTATTTTTCATGGCAAACATAATTGCACTAGCGTGCTCAGCAGCATTCCCAACAATTGGGAGCAAAATGACACTGATAAAGGCCATTGGCAGGTTCAACGCATCTGAAGCTCCCTAATCAAAGATGCAGAGACAAAATAAGATATTTAAAAGGATCACAGTGTTCTTGCCAGCTAGATAAGTTATGATAAAATATATAGGGAAAATTGTCAGGATATGTATAAAGTTTTGAATCATAGGATGATTAACAAATAGTAGCTAGCTAGTAGAGCTCACAACAAAGTTTAAAATTTTGCAAAAACGGATTAATCTTGATTGCAGTTACTAAAGGGTTATAAATTAATTAGTAAAGACAACAAGTCTTTAAACTCCACATCATGAAATTTCCCCACATTTTCAAATAATTAGTAAAGAGGAAAAACAGTTGAAGATATGGTTTAAATAATTAATTGGCTTTGTTCTATTGGTACTCAACCTGTTGCACTGAAGTCATCACCACAGGGAGATCTGTCAGGTGAAATGATGGTAATACTAAATAATTCTACATATGAAACATATAAATGTCGAATTCTGATGGTAGATGCCTACAGAATCCAACATATAAAAGTATATTAACAATGCAAAGCATGAATTTAGCTAGTTTTTTATTATTGGAGGCATGGAGTATTATTTGAGATACAATAGGCAAACTAAGCTCTGTTTTTCAACTGCAATTTGATGAGATGAGTAGAGAGTATTTGCTAGATTAGACAAAGATTAATATTCTTAGACAGATCATAATACTCAGGAAGTTCATCTTGTTCTAAGTCCCAGCAGTATCTCTTCCATGATCATTTACTTTCTTTGCAACTAAACTCAGATAAGTTCATGAATTCTTGTCAATCAAGTTTGTTGACATTTTTCAAATTAAAAATTGTGTAGGAAAATACACAAATAATTAATATGACAAATCTAAACTGTCCAATATAAATAATATGAGTATTGATGTACCTCTATGGCATCAACAAGGTATTCAGACAGAATGGAGATCCAAAGAGTCAAAATTGCTAGCCATGATATTGCTTCCCATTGGCTTAATTCTGGAGGCTCATCTTGATCCAAATCAGCCTCATTGAGCCCCTCTTCCTAGATGATCCAACATTTTTTCAAATTTAAGATAACACAAAGCCAGACATCAAGTGCAACAAA